GAACAAAGACGTGGATAAAGATTAATTTTTCAAGTTGAATTTTTCTGTTTTCAGTCTCAGAAAAAAATAATTAAAAATCTTATCACTATAAAAAACTTAAATTGCAAATTTCCACATTTGAATGTTTTGCACCTCTTTAGGTGAATCATAATGATTCTGCTGATGATGAATTGCTGTCAAAAAACAATTTTGTTTGTCATAGTTGTAGGTGCGTAATTCAGAGCCACTTATCTGGGTGTTGATTTGACAAACAAAAAATAATTGGTTTTTCGTAGAAACCACAAAAAAACAATCTCTTACCACTACCGGTTAAAGTGCTAACAATGTTTGCTTAAAACTACTTATAATTAAAAGCAAAGAAAAAAACATAAATTTTGTTCGCGTCTTATGCTAAATTGTTTTAATATTGAAAAAAGACGTTCACCTATTCACTTCTATTTTATGCCAAATTCGCATACAGTGAACAAAAATAACAACAACATTGAAGCCTTTACCAAATCAAAGTAATTGTTTTCGTATGCCAATTTAATTTTATTAAAACCGAAGACTTGGTGGCTAAAAAATTTAACCTCGTAGTATTTTAATAAAAGTGAATGAAATGCACATAGCAAATGTACAAAATTAGAGTTTAATAATTTATGTTAATATTTTTGAAACCATTTTATTAAATAATAATATAATCTTTAAAAAATCCACGCCTATTTTGGTCCTTGAAAAATTAATCTTTAAAAAATCCACGCCTATTTTGGTCCTTGAAAAATTAATCTTTAAAAAATCCACGCCTATTTTGGTCCTTGAAAAATTAATCTTTAAAAAATCCACGCCTATTTTGGTCCTTGAAAAATTAATCTTTAAAAAATCCACGCCTATTTTGGTCCTTGAAAAATTAATCTTTAAAAAATCCACGCCTATTTTGGTCCTTGAAAAATTAATCTTTAAAAAATCCACGCCTATTTTGGTCCTTGAAAAATTAATCTTTAAAAAATCCACGCCTATTTTGGTCCTTGAAAAATTAATCTTTAAAAAATCCACGCCTATTTTGGTCCTTGAAAAATTAATCTTTAAAAAATCCACGCCTATTTTGGTCCTTGAAAAATTAATCTTTAAAAAATCCACGCCTATTTTGGTCCTTGAAAAATTAATCTTTAAAAAATCCACGCCTATTTTGGTCCTTGAAAAATTAATCTTTAAAAAATCCACGCCTATTTTGGTCCTTGAAAAATTAATCTTTAAAAAATCCACGCCTATTTTGGTCCTTGAAAAATTAATCTTTAAAAAATCCACGCCTATTTTGGTCCTTGAAAAATTAATCTTTAAAAAATCCACGCCTATTTTGGTCCTTGAAAAATTAATCTTTAAAAAATCCACGCCTATTTTGGTCCTTGAAAAATTAATCTTTAAAAAATCCACGCCTATTTTGGTCCTTGAAAAATTAATCTTTAAAAAATCCACGCCTATTTTGGTCCTTGAAAAATTAATCTTTAAAAAATCCACGCCTATTTTGGTCCTTGAAAAATTAATCTTTAAAAAATCCACGCCTATTTTGGTCCTTGAAAAATTAATCTTTAAAAAATCCACGCCTATTTTGGTCCTTGAAAAATTAATCTTTAAAAAATCCACGCCTATTTTGGTCCTTGAAAAATTAATCTTTAAAAAATCCACGCCTATTTTGGTCCTTGAAAAATTAATCTTTAAAAAATCCACGCCTATTTTGGTCCTTGAAAAATTAATCTTTAAAAAATCCACGCCTATTTTGGTCCTTGAAAAATTAATCTTTAAAAAATCCACGCCTATTTTGGTCCTTGAAAAATTAATCTTTAAAAAATCCACGCCTATTTTGGTCCTTGAAAAATTAATCTTTAAAAAATCCACGCCTATTTTGGTCCTTGAAAAATTAATCTTTAAAAAATCCACGCCTATTTTGGTCCTTGAAAAATTAATCTTTAAAAAATCCACGCCTATTTTGGTCCTTGAAAAATTAATCTTTAAAAAATCCACGCCTATTTTGGTCCTTGAAAAATTAATCTTTAAAAAATCCACGCCTATTTTGGTCCTTGAAAAATTAATCTTTAAAAAATCCACGCCTATTTTGGTCCTTGAAAAATTAATCTTTAAAAAAATCCACGCCTATTTTGGTCCTTGAAAAATTAATCTTTAAAAAATCCACGCCTATTTTGGTCCTTGAAAAATTAATCTTTAAAAAATCCACGCCTATTTTGGTCCTTGAAAAATTAATCTTTAAAAAATCCACGCCTATTTTGGTCCTTGAAAAATTAATCTTTAAAAAATCCACGCCTATTTTGGTCCTTGAAAAATTAATCTTTAAAAAATCCACGCCTATTTTGGTCCTTGAAAAATTAATCTTTAAAAAATCCACGCCTATTTTGGTCCTTGAAAAATTAATCTTTAAAAAATCCACGCCTATTTTGGTCCTTGAAAAATTAATCTTTAAAAAATCCACGCCTATTTTGGTCCTTGAAAAATTAATCTTTAAAAAATCCACGCCTATTTTGGTCCTTGAAAAATTAATCTTTAAAAAATCCACGCCTATTTTGGTCCTTGAAAAATTAATCTTTAAAAAATCCACGCCTATTTTGGTCCTTGAAAAATTAATCTTTAAAAAATCCACGCCTATTTTGGTCCTTGAAAAATTAATCTTTAAAAAATCCACGCCTATTTTGGTCCTTGAAAAATTAATCTTTAAAAAATCCACGCCTATTTTGGTCCTTGAAAAATTAATCTTTAAAAAATCCACGCCTATTTTGGTCCTTGAAAAATTAATCTTTAAAAAATCCACGCCTATTTTGGTCCTTGAAAAATTAATCTTTAAAAAATCCACGCCTATTTTGGTCCTTGAAAAATTAATCTTTAAAAAATCCACGCCTATTTTGGTCCTTGAAAAATTAATCTTTAAAAAATCCAAGCCTTAAAAGTCCTTGAAAAATTAATCTTTAAAAAATCCACGCCTATTTTGGTCCTTGAAAAATTAATCTTTAAAAATTCCACGCCTATTTTGGTCCTTGAAAAATTAATCTTTAAAAAATCCACGCCTATTTTGGTCCTTGAAAAATTAATCTTTAAAAAATCCACGCCTATTTTGGTCCTTGAAAAAATAATCTTTAAAAAATCCATGCCTATTTTGGTCCTTGAAAAAATAATCTTTAAAAAATCCACGCCTATTTTGGTCCTTGAAAAATTAATCTTTAAAAAATTCACGCCTATTTTGGTTCTTGAAAATTAATCTTTAAAAAATCCACGCCTATTTTGGTCCTTGAAAATATTATCTTTAATAAAATCCACACCTTAAAAAATTCTAGTGACTTATTTAAGTCTTTTGGAAAACCGTTTGATTCTCCAATTTCAAAACAAACACACACACGTTGATACATATCTACACCATAAGGTTTTTCCTTCTGTTTGCTGTCTGCCTTTCATGAAGTTGTTGTGTGTAGGTCAAATTTGTTTTCAAATATTAATTTACAAAGTAATAAGTTTTCAACACTTGTTGTTGTAGTTGTTGTTTTCTGTTCGCATTGTTTTCAAGTAAAATAATATGAAAATCAAGGACCCAAATGTCTAGCGAATTTTCACATGTAATAATGTTTATATGTATGTATTTTTTTGTTCTGTTGTTGTACTTGTCGTTCATGGTTGAACAAATTTTCAATTAGCCATGTTAGAATATATGCCTAGGTCATATACTATGTTTGTCGTATCGGGTGTAACATGTTTGAAGTGTGAAGAGTATGGTTTCGATAGGGAGCCACAAGAAAATTTGAAAACTAAAATTCGATATCAAATCAAATTTTTGAATTTTTGTCCAACAAAGAGGATATTATAATTCCACGAGTTGCGAATTGTATCCTCATTCCGTCATTTATGTATCCCCTCAACGAAGCTCATTCCAAATTCTACCATGACCGAACTTCGTTTCATTTTTAAATTTATCCGACAACCTTAGCTCAAATAATTTATTTATTTGTTTTGTATTTACTCACATTTGATGTATTCCAAATGTGTTGTTGTTGGCCAAATGTGCGGAACAATACGGAAACCCCGTCCGTGTATGCAGTGTAGCCTGGGTAATCAATGTTTATTTTGATTTTAATTGGCTATTTAACTTTGAAATATTAATCAATCGGATATAAAGTATTTAGAACAAGATCAATTTTGAAGATTACAACACCAACGAAAAATTACAAATATATATTAGAATGTATATTTATAGAATAGAACTATTGATTCGATTTGTTAGAGGTCATTAGAGAGGAATTCGATGGTTCTTTGGAATGGTGTTGGTAGGTAAACCAAAGTTCTGTTTTTATAATTGAAAGGTAAATTGGCAGGTGATGTAATTTCAAATATTAGGAAATATTAATATTGAAATAATATTCAATATTTATATTTCCTAATTCAAATAATATTCGTTTTATAAACCCGCGCCTTGTGGCCCTCCAAATAATATTCGTTTTAAAAATCCACGCCTTGTGGCCCTCCAAATAATATTCATTTTAAAAATCCACGCCTTGTGGCCCTCCAAATAATATTCGTTTTAAAAATCCACGCCTTGTGGCCCTCCAAATACTATTCGTTTTAAAAATGCACGCCTTATAGTGTTTCAAATAATTATATTCATTTAAAAAAGCCACGCATTGTGGCCCTTGAAATAATATTCATTTTAAAAATCAATGCCTTTAATTCTTCAAATAATATTCCTTTCAGAATATTCTCGGATACTTTTGAGGCAACATCAATTTATAGCGCCATCTCCTGGTGTCTAGTTATAAACTACAGTTCTCATTCACATTCTGTGTGCTATTGTGAATGACGCAGCTTAATCATCAGAGCCAAAAGTCGATCTTTTGATCCCTAATGCCAAAACAGCTGTTATAAACAAAAAATCATTTCTAAGGGAGGGGATACAAAACTCCAGCAAAAAAACTGTGGAAAATAGCAACACACAGCAGGAATAATATACTTGGAAAGGTAAAATAGAAAATATGGAAATCGCCAATACCTATTACAGCAAGGATGAATATGTGGAGACGGTAAGTAGGGAGTGAGCAGCATCACAACTTCATGTAGTTCCGATGACCTCATCAAATACCGCTATTTAAACATTCTTTCCTTCCAGGCATCGGGCAACAAAGTTAGCCGTCAAACAGTGCTATGTGGCTCCCAAAATATCGTCCTCAATGGCAAGGTAATCGTACAAAGTGGTTCCATTATACGTGGCGATTTGGCCAATGTGCGGACGGGACGTTATTGTGTTATAAGCAAAAATGCCGTCATACGACCACCATGTAAACAGTTTAGTAAGGGAATTGCCTTCTTTCCCATGCATATTGGTGATCATGTGTTTATAGGGGAGGATGCGGTGGTATCTGCGGCCGTGATAGGGTCATTTGTCTATATTGGAAAGAATGCCATAATTGTGAGTAGGCCCATAGCTTAATTGTTCATATTTAAAACCCATTCTTTTTTACTCTAGGGCCGCCGTTGTGTTCTCAAAGACTGCTGTATTATTGAGGATGGTGCGGTGCTACCACCCGAAACCACTGTGGGCAGTTATATGCGTTTCACTGCCAAAGGCACCATTGAGGGTGGTCAAGGCAATCCGAATTTTGTACCCACCGCCATGCAAGATCAAATGATAGACTATACCAAATCATTCTATGAACATTTTGTGCGAACTCCCGTTGCATGTTAACAGGATAAACCCACACATACATTTCCACTCAAAACTAAATAATTGTATTTATTTTTTTTATTTCTTTCTTTGTATTAAATAATTTATTTGTATTAAAAATACACAAACTCTCCTCCTCCATCCAACTTAAACTAAACTCAAAATTAATCTATTATTCCTGTCTCCACATCATATGCTGAATGACCCATTTCAAATAGGGGTGCCGACAAACCAGTTCGCCTTGCAATCTCTTCTGCTGTTTCTTCGGAATTATTCAAAGATCTCGCATTGATATTAGGATCCATTAACAACGCCGTTGCTGTATTACGACAATTTGATACAGTGGCTGCCACATGCAACGGGGTCTGTTGACCATCTGATTGAGCATTAACATCAGCACCATGTTGCAGTAGCAGGGCAACACTTTCTGCATGACTCCATTTACAGGCCGAATGTAGAGGGGTCCATCCTAATTTTGTTTTGGCATTCGGATTGGCATTATACTGCAGTAATAGTTTTGCTATATCTGTAAAATTATTATATGCCGCCCGATGCAGTGGGGTATAACCGTCGTCGTCAACGGCGGAAACAGTTTCCGGGTCCAGTCTTAAAATCTCACGTATTTCGTCGTGTTTCTTTTCATTAACAGCCCATAAAATCATACGTTCCAAGGTGGCTAAAGGGCAAATAAAAAGAATAATTAGTTGTATTTGTTACAAGGCTTTTGGAGCATGTGCAGACTAAAGAGATTCTGTGGAATCGTTAGAAATTATCATGCAAGCTCTGAATGTCGTGAAGTTATGTTTAGGGATTATTTTTATGTAGTCGTAGGGGACCTGATTACACCGATTCAAGGTGTATTTTGCAGAAGTCCATACTTCCGAGATATAAGCTGACAGAATCTTCTTTTAAATAGAAGTTTTCAGATTTTTCGATACCAGCACCGCCTATTGAATTTTTAAATACTACATTTTTTGAATACCGGTCCTTCTACAGGTGCCCGCTACGTCAAAGAACCAACTTTCATTACTTTGAATTTACTGCCCTTTAGAGGCCAAGTAGGTTGTTCTTCATATATTGTGGAATGAAGAATTGATACCATTGTGTCCACGGAACTTTGGAGTTCTATAACTCCGGAAGTATGAGTTTCCACAAACGCTCTTTCGTTGTAATAAGCCCTTAGGTCAACTTTCAGCAGACCATAAACTTCAATTTATAGAGGTCCTAAAATATACATTTCCATATAGTTCTTAAAAACTCCATAACGATCCTTGAACCTCTCCAGACTGAAATCATATCTCAAATTGCCATTCACTACCTACCCTCTGGATTTTTATCTTCCTCAATCAATTCATCGGCATCGTCATCCCAGCCACTGACATGCATACCCTTTGGCACCTTGGCGTATCTCAATTTATCCAATTGGGATTGTTCTTCATCGGAGTCATAGTCACCCATTTTTTGTTAGCTATATTTAGATCGAAATCTAAAAACTTTTTATTAGTGTTTTAAACAAAACTATTCACGTATTTTGCTTGGTAAACTGCTAAACAAAAATAATGATCATTCACAATAAGGGATTTGTTTTTATTTGCACCCATCGAGAAAATTCCATCATTGACGTCAGACAAGATAAAGCACATTTACGACGTTTGGCGTTGTACGTAAAATGTGTTGTGAGAGGCAACGATTTTGAGATGTTTTTATAGTTTTTTTTGGGATAAATTATTTGTCTGTTTCCTACTTATTTTTATTATATTTTTCGATATCATAAAGGACAAATTGTTATCATAATAAAAACTTGTACATTCTTGTTCTGGAACAGGCATCATGGGCCCGGTTGTATTCCTAATTATAAATAATTCTTTGTTATGTTTAATTTTTCAGATGAGAAGGGGACAGATATACGAACACAAGCCACGGAATCTTTCATACACGAGCTAAAGACAGAGTGTTTTTATGGAGAGAGTGTAGGGAATATGGTATTGCACCATAGAAGGGATTCTTTAAAAGACTGAAGGGATTTGTAGCTGCCTATCGGTGGCAGGTATTCATCCAGTATTGTCGAATTACTTTCTCAACTGGATCAGTGGGAATACGATTCAATCCTGCTTGATAGGCTTGAGGACCACAGTTACAGTCCTCTCTCCATCCAGATCATGGTACTTTTCTAACACCCTAGGATATATTACATCGACACCATATTGTTGTATTGAATCTTCGTCTCCTTATCTAAACGATTTACTGTTGTCGGTAAGAGACCAACTAGTAGCAGGTTCTTCATGGTATTCACCCTGCATTCTCGAGTAGCTACCAACTGTCCCAGGGTGAATTAGATTCAAATTTGCGCACTTGATCTAGATACCCACAAGATATTGGATACACAAAATCTTATGTTTACGCATAGGAAGTATCTTTAGTGGTCGGAATTGCGGATTCATTGACCTGCAAATTCAGAGGTTCATATGGTAAATAGTGTGGTCGTTGGTTTGTGGAGAATATTTCAAAATTCTGCCGGCTCGTGTCTTGAGAACTTTATTCCTGCTCCTAATATTATGGCTAATGTCTTATAGGGGTCATAGAAACTGATCCCTATAACCATGGTGTAATTAGTGGTCGGAATTGTGGACCCATCAACCTGCACATTGAGAAGCCGTTGATATTTCCACATTCCTCGCCCGAAATAACTTTGCTATATTTGGCCTATGATCGTACGAGCAACCGTGTAAGTAACGCTATTTATTCCATCAGTTGGGTCCTGAATTTCAGAAACGTAAAGGTTAAACAGTTCAGAAGATATCTTCCCACCGTGGGTAACTTTCTACTTCACTCAACGTGGCTTGGACATCTTATTCCGGTACTCTAAGTACGAATGTCGTCCACAATTATAATTTATTATCCAACGTTTCGAACTTGTCCCGAGGAATTTCCTCAAAGAACTTGGCATGACTGACGGTATCGAAGACGATACCAACACTGCCTTTGGCATGGCCGGTTCTGATTTAGTCCTCGACTTATATATGTAGACATATTGTTGTGCCGTTGTGCTTACGGAACCCATTCTGATGATTCCCAACTTGATAATTTCCCTAATGCTGAGAAAGGTGTAATGCCTCAAGACAACAATTACATCCATTAAAATGGGATCGGACTGTAAGATTCGCCATTGCTGGCAATACTTGATTCAGTAGCGGCACTAACCTGTCCATTGTCCAAGGTTAAAGAACGATGTGGGTAACGTTTTCGATAGAACCCACTGTCGTAGGATTGATTTCATGTTTCATTCAAACGAACTTTTCCGAACTAATTCGCACTGGTTCATTATTGTGAATCACACAATTGAACGCCACCGTATTTGCAAACTGCTGAACTCTATAATGCTGACTGTGACTGTTTATCAGCTGTCAGTTTTTGTTTGAACGTATAGAACAACAATAATACACAAAATTGAAAGAACATAACTAAATAAATAAAACTAAATTATATAGTATAAAAAATGGGTGACGAAAACAATACATCGACTGATGAAAATCGCAAATTACAAGATATCTTCTTGGAGGCATGGAATCAATATGAGTTTTTGGATGAAACAACCATCGATACGAATAGTGCCGAATATCAAGTAAGAAGGGATTTTGCCGGAATTTTCTTTTCGTTTGCATTGTTATATTTATTTTTCATTGTTGTTGTTGTTGTTTTACTTGCAGAATAAAGTAAAGGATGGCATTAAAAATTTCGAATTGGCTACGAAAATTGTTAGCCAAATTAATATGTTTAGTACCAATGAATTTATCGATGAGGTACCAACAGAATCACTGCAATATTTGCTGTTACCATTTTTCCTCGGCAAGTTAACATTGAAATGTTACAAAGAGGAACGCGGTGAAGTTTTGGGAAAGGCTGAGGTATATTTCAAGTAAGTTGTGTGATAATAAAGAAATACATGATAAATGTAAGGAGATTTAGATATCAATCTTATCTCTTTAAGATAGTGTCATCAATTAGGATTAAATGTATGATGCAAGGGAAATGACATTTTACATCGATATGTATGAAATTTTCTATAACGAACTTCCGAACAAGAGTGATTTTTAAGGCAAATCATCGGATCCAAACTTCCACGATTAGAGAAAGAAACAAGTCAAGTTTAGAACCAGGCCATCGATAGTTTTGAAATCTTTACTACATGTAGTCTCATTCTTCCAGAGGCATGGGCCTCCAATACAAACATATATTTTGTATTTCGGGGAGTTGAGTTTCGAAATCGGACCACTTTTTGAGGATATGCTCCATATAACGGCATACTATTATTTTGCATATTAGGGATTTTTGTCACGTTTATCAATCCAAAAGGCTATAATTTATTATCTTAAATCAAATCTAAAAATTTCGAAATCGGACCACTTTTGATGATATCCCCCATAACGATATCCCAAAATATTCGGTATTTTGAGGAGTTTAGGCAATTTGTTTATGTTGGTACTTTGAGTTTCCATTGGATCGCAAATCGCTTTACCAAAAATTATCGATATCGGGACACTTGAGGATAGTCCCCATACAACGGTACCCAACATTATTCGGTATTTTGGGGTGCTTGGGCAAGTTTTTTACTCAAATTGGCTATAATTTGGTACTTTGAGTTGTCATTGAGTAGCAAATCTCCTTAACAAAAATTATCGATATCGAGCCCTTTTGAGGATAGTCCCCATATAACAATATCCTCCATTATTTGGTATTTTTGGAAGTTTGGGCACGTTTTAAACGAATTGGCTATAACTTCGGATTTTGAATCCTCATTCGGTATTTTTTACTTTTTTTAATTTGCATCCTCCTTATATTAACCTTCTTTTCTTCTTCTTTTAATTTTTATCCTACAGAGACTTCCTACAACGTTGTCAAAATTATGAATTATGTGATGGTCCGAAAATGTCAAATGACGAGGAGAATTCTCAACAAAGCGGTTGTATAGATACAACCCAACAATTGGTAGCATCCGCTGTGGCACGCAACAACAAAATTGCCCAGTTCAGGAGAAAAAAGGAATTAGAAGAACAAATCAAGAAAATGCGTGTTGCCGTTCGCTGTGAAAATGTCGATGATGAAATTAAGCGGAATTTCTTTCTAAACTTCATACAAAAAAGTATTATCGAAACTAATGAAGAGTTGCAGGATATAAAATTGGAAAAGGGTGTTGTGGAAATGCGCAAACAACGTATGGCTGAATTTGGCACAACACGTATGGATGATATTTTACCACCCGGCAGTGTAATAGGTCCTGGTGTATCAGCTGGCATGGGACCCAGTGGTCATTCACATAACCACGGTCATGGACACAGTCACCATCATCATCATGGTGCAGCTCCTAAACCAAAACCCATGCAACCATTTATTATTACAAAAGATGCTGCACAAAAGGCCGTGTTTGGTATGGGTTATCCCAGTTTGCCGGTTATGTCCGTTGATGAATTCTATCAGCAACGTGTTGATGAGGGTGTTTTTCCCGATGAAGAAAAAATGGCTCGTATAAATGCAGAAAAGGCATTGGCCGCCGCCCAAGATCCCGAAGAAAAAGAGGAGGAAGAAAAGGCCGCCATGGAGGAGAAAATCGAAAATGATGATCCAGAAAATTTGGCACGTATGCGTCGTATGGATGAATATCGGGACGTGGTTAGACGTGGTGATGGCAATCGTCATAATCGCAGTTAAATTTTTGAACACAAACACACACAATCACGTATTCTCTGAATGTCGACGTAACACACTTTTAATAACGAAAAAATAATTAAAGGAATTTTTTTCGAATCCATAAGACTAACTCTCATTTAATATATGAAAACAAAAAATTAATTGCTCACTCGTATGGAGTTATAAAATTAACAAGTTTATAAAACTTTGAAAACAAACGAATAATAAAATTACATTACGATGTGTTGAAGTTGAATTTGAAGACTTTTTTAAAGGTATATGTAAGCGGTTTAAATAATTTGGACTGTATACACAAATTGCTACAATTTTTAGGGGGTTTCGTTATATGGGGGTTGAAACAAAACGTGGGTCCATTTTTAATATCGCGAGTTATATCGTGATTTCAACACACGGGCATGGCTATATTGGGATAGATTTTTATACCCTTCACCACACTGTGGTACAGGGTATTATGTCTTTGTGCATATGTTTGTAACAGTCAAAAGGAAACGAGATAGACACATAGCTCCTTTTGAGAATATGCATAGAATCACTTTCTGAGTCGATTTACGCATGCCGTCTGTCCGTCCGTCCTTGTATTTATGTGAACAAAATACAGGTCGCATTTATGATCCGATTTGGATGAAATTTGGCACTGGTCACTTATTTGGTCCAAGGACGAACCCTATTTAAATTGGGAAAAATCGGTTCAGATTTATATATAGCTCCCATATATATTTTAGTCCGATTTAATGTATTTGGTGCGCCAAAGTCCCTATATATCTATCGATTTACACGAAATTTGGCACAGCGTAATGAAATAGGTATAGAAAGATGTGTGTTAAGTTTCCTAAAAATCGGTTCAGTTTTAGATATAGCTCCTATAGATATTTTCGTCCTATTCAATGTAAATGGTGCACCAAAATCCATATATATCTTTCGATATGCACGAAATTTGGCACAGCGTAATGAATAAGGTCTAGAATGATGTGTGTTAAGTTTCCTGAAAATCGGTTCAGATTTATATATAGCTCCCATATATACTTTCGTCCGATTTAATGTATTTGGCACCAATGTCTTTATATATCTTTCGATTTGCACGAAATTTGGCACAGCGTAATGAATTAGGTCTAGAATGATGTGTGTTAAATTTCCTGAAATCGGTTCAGATTTAGATATAGCTTCTATATCTAACCAAATGAAAAATTTAGTATCGGTTGCAGAATGACATGTTTATTGATCCAATTTTATTTTATTGGTCCTTTAAAAATACAACGTCTGTTAGAATTCATCTGTTGAATATACCCAAAGTGGTGAAGGGTATCATATAGTCGGCCCGTCCGACTTTACTACTTTCCTTACTGGTTTATTCTTATCAAGTATACATTTAGGCGTCTCCGGTGAATATTTCGAGGTTGTGGGTATACAAATTTTCCGAAATTTGCCTAATAATCGTTCCCAAGCATTGTGTAAGAGGTTTGGTCCCCAGAGTTGCCGCTACCGCAGCTATCAGGAGCACTATCTGCTTCGTGTCCCCCACTTTGGGTTTATCCAGCAACAACTCGAATTTGATCGGTTATTTCTCAGAAGGTGGTTATATCTTGTCCTCCTTACTAGAGGCCTTTCTATGGGATCTCCTTTTAGTCGACATCTACACTACCTCACCCTCATTCGTAGTGGAATATGGTGTAAAGGACTTCTCAACATTCAGGTACCGTCTCTAAGGTCCTGATTGTATATATTTACCTGGCGTCATTTTCTTGGCTGCACTCAGTCTACTCGCAGTTTTCTTCTCCATTAACTGCAATCATCTTCACATTTTTCTTGGCCGCCTTTCTACGAACTCTGCTTCGTGTCCCCCACTTTGGGTTTATCCAGCAACAACTCGAATTTGATATATTGTCATGACACTGCTATGGGTTTTGATAATACAACATCAGTCGGATTCGGAGTTTTCGGTTATTTCTCAGAAGGTGGTTATATCTTGTCCTCCTTACTAGAGGCCTTTCTATGGGATCTCCTTTTAGTCGACATCTACACTACCTCACCCTCATTCGTAGTGGAATATGGTGTAAAGGACTTCTCAACATTCAGGTACCGTCTCTAAGGTCCTGATTGTATATATTTACCTGGCGTCATTTTCTTGGCTGCACTCAGTCTACTCGCAGTTTTCTTCTCCATTAACTGCAATCATCTTCACATTTTTCTTGGCCGCCTTTCTACGAACTCTGCTTCTAACTGACATCTACATTACCTCAATTTATTTCACAGTGGAAAATGGGACATCCCATCGAAAGTCCTGATTGTTTAGATATTCCTGGCATACCTTTTCTGACTGTGTTGAGGCTGCTCGCAGTTTTCTCCTCCCTTGGAGGACCACCTTCCCACGCGACGTCCGAATTATGTCATTTAAAAAGTTCCTCAATATCATGCGGATAGTTCCATGATAACATTTAAGGTTTCTGTTAACCTGAATTAAAATCTTATCGGTGATCGAGTCTCTATTCCGTTCAATGGCCCGGTTGCAGAAATTAACCGCACTCCAGTAGATCTTTTTGTAGGAGATTTCATTGGCATTGTCTCGTTTGGTGGTGGCTTGTGTTGATGATTTATCCATCGCTTTGGTGAGAAGGTTATTAACACAAGTATTCACTTCATCCACCATTTGCCTCGGAAATTTTTACATTTCCACCTACCGCCTGCCATGGAAATGGGACTTCCATACTCGTCAAAGTTGTCTTGGCCTTCGATGTCTCACCATGGCCTTTTATGACTCACCTTGATTTAGATAAGACACTTGGATAGCCGTTGTGTTAATCACTTTGGTATCTTTAGTGTCTTCCTCGCCCGTCAAGGGTGAGTCAGCCCACAGATGAGTCAGTATACTTTCTTGACTGAGGCGACACCTCAAAGGTACCTAAAGAACTTTTTCTATAGAAAAAGACACTCATCGGGACCTGAGGAACTTTTTCTATAGAAAAGACACCTCAAAGGGACCTGAGGAACTTTTTCTATAGAAAAAGACACCTCAGTGGGACCTGAGGAACTTTTTCTATAAAAAAATCATTTTTTAGAGACCAAGCAAGGCGTGGATTTATTAAAGAATAATTTTTTTAAAGGTTAAAACAAATTTCTTATAAAGAAAATAAATTAGCTTATACCATGGTATAAGTATAAGATATTTATTATGACTATAACTATATAATAAAATATATTTAATTTATTAGTAAAATAACATGGAATTTAATATATTTGTTGTGGCCGACATGGTTGAATTATCACCACTGGCTGTAACCGCCGAAGATGTTGGTCTTTCATAATTAGGCGGTAAATTCCCTGAATACTTTTTACGTTGCGCTTCTTCCCATTCAATAGGATGTGCTTTCTGACGATGGTGATACATATTGCCACTGGAATTGAATTCCTTCGGACACCAGGGACAACGGTATAATGGTGTGCCGGTATGTATGGCCATGTGGGACTAAAATGGCAAAATAAAAAACACAATTAGTGATTCCTTATAAGAAAAATATGCATTTATATACCTTAAAATTATCCGCTCGCTTGAACTCCTTTTCACAGATGGTACACTTAAAACGATAACCCATTTCATGGGTTTCGTGTATGTGCTTCTTGAGTGAACGCATATTTGGTGAAACCTTCGAACAGATATGACAATTATATTCACGCCGCTCCGGTGGATGTTTCATTTCCATGTGTGTTTTCAATGACCGCTGACAACTGAGTATTTGACCACATATATCACAATTGGCTGTTTTAACCTGTAGAATACCGTCATGTTTTTCCATATGCCGTTTAAAGTTAAACGAATCGGATAGGGTTTCACCACATATCTCGCAGACCTTGGCATAGGCATTAAGATGTACCACTCTCTGGTGTTGGATAAGTGAATACTCATTGGCGTAACTGGAAATGTGGAAGAAAAAATATTTTTATTATTTTTATATGTAAAAAAAATACAGTTTTTAAAGGGTATTTATTAAAGAACTATCACAGCTGGGGACGTGAAATTTTAAAGAAAATTTATTTCAAAATGATCAACATGAAAATCCAATACATACAATTTACCACATTCATTGCAGGGAAATTTTTTCTCCGATTCCGGTAGATGCGTTAACTTATGTACCGTGAGTTTATATTTCTCTACAAATTTCTTTGGACATTGATCGCAGGCAAACTTTTTCTCATCATGCATTTTCATATGACTAATAAGGCAAATGCGTGTTGTCATCGCTTTACCACATATCTTGCAATTAAAATATTCCGGATCAAGATGTAAATTTATATGATCGACGAGAACAGCACGTTTAAAGAATTTTGTTTCACAACACACAACATAGCCCTGTTCATTGTGTTCCTGACTAAAGTGTTGACACAACTGGCGAAAACGTTCAAATGTTTGTAGGCATTTATCACAAGTGATTTTGAAATGTTCCTGAAGAAACTTATCATATTCGATAGTATCAACTTTTGGCAGGTTTGTAGTTTTGCGAGTTTTTATCCGCTTCTTGGTGGCAGAGGTATTGCCCTTATTCTGTGAAGATTTTGTGCAATTGTTTAGTCTTCTCCTCTTGTTGGGAATTTCTTTTGTATCATTTGCGGGTTCTTCGTTGTTTGTTTCTTTTCTTCTATTAGGTTTACGCGTTGATTTTTTGTTGTTTTGGGTATCCGCTTTGTCCATTTTTAGCAAATCATTGCCATCTAAATGATCATCATTAGCAGCAGGAGCATCATCATTATCAGTATCATTACTATAATTCGAATCACTACTACTACTATCATCATCGTCATTATATGCCATGGGATCTTGTTCATTTTCAGCATCTTCTTCATTTTCTTGTTTAATTTCTATGGGCGGTTCATTCAAATGCTGATCAAGAATAATTTCTGGCTCCAGTAAACATTCCGTAATCTCATCTTTAGGTTTGACATCATCCTTTTGTAAAGGATCCGGTTCGGTTTTTACTATACTAAGTCGATGGTCACTGTGTATCTGATCCAATCGCATATAGAATTTATGGAAGTCATATAGTTCTGACCAGCAGTCATTACAAACACAGCAGGTTGCTGGAGGGTATTCCTAGAAAGGAGACATTTTAAATTATCGTACTCTTCGTACCCCCACCAAAATCTTCGTACATACTATGGGCCACAGATGTTTATCAATTAAAGTTTTTATATTCAATTCCTGCCATGCAATTGAATCCACCTTTATACAAGTTGGCTCATCACCCGGTTTTGTTTCCATGCACAGTAAACATTCCATAGTGGAGGATGGTGGGAAAAATCTCTTTAAACACAGATGGGTTTACTAATTCCCGTACAATTTAAATGTACTATTAGATGGAAAGCTAATAAAAAAATCATGGACTGGTTCAGATTGTCCATACACAATTAAAACATTTCTTCTGTTGTGATTTCGGGACTTTTGTGCGGTTGAAGGCAAGTGTATTATGAGCTCTGGTTGAAAAAAGGGTACACTAGGTGAGAAAAGGAGCACGCAGAGGGAAATAATCTTTAATAAATCCACGCCTTTTTTGGTCTTTGAAAATTTAATCTTTAATAAATCCACGCCTTTTTTGGTCTTTGAAAATTTAATCTTTAATAAATCCACGCCTTTTTTGGTCTTTGAAAATTTAATCTTTAATAAATCCACGCCTTTTTTGGTCTTTGAAAATTTAATCTTTAATAAATCCACGCCTTTTTTGGTCTTTGAAAATTTAATCTTTAATAAATCCACGCCTTTTTTGGTCTTTGAAAATTTAATCTTTAATAAATCCACGCCTTTTTTGGTCTTTGAAAATTTAATCTTTAATAAATCCACGCCTTTTTTGGTCTTTGAAAATTTAATCTTTAATAAATCCACGCCTTTTTTGGTCTTTGAAAATTTAATCTTTAATAAATCCACGCCTTTTTTGGTCTTTGAAAATTTAATCTTTAATAAATCCACGCCTTTTTTGGTCTTTGAAAATTTAATCTTTAATAAATCCACGCCTTTTTTGGTCTTTGAAAATTTAATCTTTAATAAATCCACGCCTTTTTTGGTCTTTGAAAATTTAATCTTTAATAAATCCACGCCTTTTTTGGTCTTTGAAAATTTAATCTTTAATAAATCCACGCCTTTTTTGGTCTTTGAAAATTTAATCTTTAATAAATCCACGCCTTTTTTGGTCTTTGAAAATTTAATTTTTAATAAATCCACGCCTTTTTTGGTCTTTGAAAATTTAATCTTTAATAAATCCACGCCTTTTTTGGTCTTTGAAAATTTAATCTTTAATAAATCCACGCCTTTTTTGGTCTTTGAAAATTTAATCTTTAATAAATCCACGCCTTTTTTGGTCTTTGAAAATTTAATCTTTAATAAATCCACGCCTTTTTTGGTCTTTGAAAATTTAATCTTTAATAAATCCACGCCTTTTTTGGTCTTTGAAAATTTAATCTTTAATAAATCCACGCCTTTTTTGGTCTTTGAAAATTTAATCTTTAATAAATCCACGCCTTTTTTGGTCTTTGAAAATTTAATCTTTAATCTTTGAAAATCTTTAATAAATCCACGCCTTTTTTGGTCTTTGAAAATTTAATCTTTAATAAATCCACGCCTTTTTTGGTCTTTGAAAATTTAATCTTTAATAAATCCACGCCTTTTTTGGTCTTTGAAAATTTAATCTTTAATAAATCCACGCCTTTTTTGGTCTTTGAAAATTTAATCTTTAATAAATCCACGCCTTTTTTGGTCTTTGAAAATTTAATCTTTAATAAATCCACGCCTTTTTTGGTCTTTGAAAATTTAATCTTTAATAAATCCACGCCTTTTTTGGTCTTTGAAAATTTAATCTTTAATAAATCCACGCCTTTTTTGGTCTTTGAAAATTTAATCTTTAATAAATCCACGCCTTTTTTGGTCTTTGAAAATTTAATCTTTAATAAATCCACGCCTTTTTAATCTTTAATAAATCCACGTCTTTTTTGGTCTTTGAAAATTTAATCTTTAATAAATCCACGCCTTTTTTGGTCTTTGAAAATTTAATCTTTAATAAATCCACGCCTTTTTTGGTCTTTGAAAATTTAATCTTTAATAAATCCACGCCTTTTTTGGTCTTTGAAAATTTAATCTTTAATAAATCCACGCCTTTTTTGGTCTTTGAAAATTTAATCTTTAATAAATCCACGCCTTTTTTGGTCTTTGAAAATTTAATCTTTAATAAATCCACGCCTTTTTTGGTCTTTGAAAATTTAATCTTTAATAAATCCACGCCTTTTTTGGTCTTTGAAAATTTAATCTTTAATAAATCCACGCCTTTTTTGGTCTTTGAAAATTTAATCTTTAATAAATCCACGCCTTTTTTGGTCTTTGAAAATTTAATCTTTAATAAATCCACGCCTTTTTTCTTTAATAAATCCACGGTCTTTGAAAATTTAATCTTTAATAAATCCACGCCTTTTTTGGTCTTTGAAAATTTAATCTTTAATAAATCCACGCCTTTTTTGGTCTTTGAAAATTTAATCTTTAATAAATCCACGCCTTTTTTGGTCTTTGAAAATTTAATCTTTAATAAATCCACGCCTTTTTTGATCTTTGAAAATTTAATCTTTAATAAATCCACGCCTTTTTGGGTCTTTGAAAATTTAATCTTTAATAAATCCACGCCTCAGTTGGCCCTTTAAAAATAATCTTTAATAAATCCACGCCTCAGTTGGCCCTTGAAAAATAATCTTTAATAAATCCACGCCTTGTTTGGTCTTTAGAAAATTATTCTTTAATAAATCCACGCCTTGTTTGGTCTTTGAAAATTTAATCTTTAATAAATCCACGCCTTGTTTGGTCTTTAGAAAATTATTCTTTAATAAATCTATGCGGTTGGAACAAATACACAGTGATCATCGACTTATCTTAAAAGCCGAATCAGATCCTCTGCAGCAGGAAGATGCCAAACCGAAGGATGTTTTTTTGAAAAGTCTACTGGAACCCGAGATTGTTATTGGCCAACATTTGGATGAACCAATAGAGATTAAACAAGAAAATGAAGAACCCATTGCTGTTGTAATAAAGGGCGACAACAACATTGACGCTGAGGCGGATGATGAGGGTGGTGTGGACAAGAAAAACCACAACAATTCCGAAAATTCACTTGATATATTCGAAAATGAACAGGATCCAATGGCATATAATGACAATGAGTGTGATGATGATAATAGCAGTGATTCCAATTACAGCAATGATGATGATTATGATGCTCCAGATGATGTTCATACAGATAGTGATGACGATGATTTGCCATTAATACACAAAGTGAAACACCAAATGAACAAAAAATCAACACGAAAAGCCAATAAAGCAACAAAAGAAACAAATAAAGACGAATCGGAAGATGATACAACAGAAATTCCAAAAAAGAAAAGAAGAACGAAATCCACAAAATCTTCAGAGAAAAATAGAAAACCCTCTTCCACCAAGAAACGCGAAACAAATCGCCAAACGTCAAATCTGCCGAAAATCAATCGTGTCGAGTATGATAAATTTCTGCAGGAACATTTCAAAATGTCGTGTGATAAATGTTCGAAAACATTTGAACGTTTTCGCCAATTGTGTCAACATTTCAGCCAGGAACACAATGAACAAGGCTATGTTATGTGTTGTGCAACGAAATTCTTTAATCGTCGTCTTCTCGTCGATCATATAAATTTCCATCTTGATCCGGAGTATTTTAAGTGCAATCTTTGTGGCAAAGTTCTGACGAAACGTATTTGCCTTATCGGTCATATGAAAATGCATGAGGAGAAGAAATTCGCTTGTGATAAATGCGATAAGAAATTTGTACTGAAACATAAATTGGATAAACATAAGCTGACACATCTACCGGAATCGGAGAAGAAATTTCCGTGCAATGATTGTGGTAAATTGTATGTGTTGAGGTTTTTTGTTTTTATTATTATATAGTTTTGAATGAGGGATTTTAAATCGCTTCAGGTGTGGTAGTTTTGCAAAAATATATCTTCAATAAATTTCCTCTAAAAATCCACGCCTCTAGCTGTGATAGTTTTTCAAAAAAATTACCCTTTAAAAATCCACGCCCTTAGCTGTAATAGTTCTTCAAAAAATACCGTTTAAAAATCCACGTTCCTAGCTGTGATGGTTCTTCAATAAGTACCCTTTAAAAATCCACGCCTCTAGCTGTGATAGTTCTTCAAAAGATACCCTTTAAAAACCCCGGCCTCTAGCTGTGATAGTTTTTCAATAAATATCCTTTAAAAATCCACTCCTCTACCTGCGATAGTTCTTCAATAGATACCCTTTAAAAATCCACGTCTGTAGCTGTGATAGTTCTTCAATAGATACCCTTTAAAAATCCACGTCTGTAGCTGTGATAGTTCTTCAAGAAATACCCTTTAAAAATCCACGCCTCTAGCTGTGATAGTTCTTCAATCTGGCTGTGATAATCCCTGAGAAATATTCCTTACAAAATACACCCTGGCTGTGATAATCCCTATCATTCATAACGAGCATTATTCCTAAAATTTATTTTTAAATTTAATTTTTTCTAAAAAAATTAACTATTTCCCCCTCCCTCTTTCCAGCTACGCCAATGAATATATACTTAATCAACATCAGAAGGCGGTACACTTGAATATCTATGCAAAAGTCTGTGAGATATGTGGTGAAACTCTACCCGATTCGCATAATTTTAAGCGGCATATGGAAAAACATGAGGGCATTGTACCGGTCAAAACAGCCAAGTGTGATATCTGCGGTCTAATACTAACCAGTCATCACACGCTGAAATTACACAAAGAACTGAAACATCCACCGGAGAGGCGTGAATATAATTGTCATATCTGTTCGAAGGTTTCACCAAATATGCGTGCACTCAAGAAACATATACACGAAACTCATGAAATGGGTTATCGTTTTAAATGTACCATCTGTGAAAAGGAATTCAAGCGAGCGGATAATTTTAAGGTATATAATAAATGGAAACATTTTTATTAAATAATAATTCTTGGTTTCTCATTTCAGTCCCACATGGCCATACACACGGGCAAGCCTTTACATCGTTGCCCCTGGTGTCCCAAGGAATTCAATTCGAATGGCAATATGCATCAGCATCGTAAGAAAGCCCATCCTGTTGAATGGGAGGAGGCGCAACGTAAAAAGTATTCAGGAAATTTACCGCCTAATTATAAGAGACCAACACCTCCGGTTGTAGCCAGTAATAGTAGTAGTAATACAACCATGCCACCACCAGCCACAACAAATCAACCAACATA